TATATATATATATATATATATATATATATATATATATATATATATATGTCTTAAATAAATATATATATATATATATATGTTTATTAAATGTTATATATATATATATATATTCTTTTCTTAAATTATTATATATATATATATATATATATATATATAATTTAAGAAAGAATATATATATATATATATATATATATATATATAACATTTAATAAACATATATATATATATATATATATATGGTTTTAGACATAGGATATATATATATATATATATATATATATATATATATATATATATATATATATATATATATAGTATATATATATATATATATATATATATATATATATACAGTAGTACGTATATAGTACAGTATATATATATATATATATATATATATATATATATATATATATATATTACAGTAGAATATATATATATATGATTTAAGAAACAGCAAAACACACACGCATATATATATATATATATATATATATATATATATATATATATATATATATATATATATATATATATATGATTAGAAAGAACTGACTAGATTTGCCTTTTAAATTTTTATTGATTTTTTCTAATTTTCCCATAAAGTGTTGAGTATTGCACTCGAAGTTGTGGATAAACACTCATAAGTTCATATTTTGTTAATTTTTCGACTTTCACTGTCATTTTCAAGAATCGATGTGGTGTTTCTGTGTTAGTTAAACATCTCATATCTTCATCTTGGTTTTCTTTGGGATGTTTGACGTTTCAAATTGTCTAGCGAGACAGCATGTGTAACGACTACTGGGAAAACGCGGGAAAAAGTTTTGCGATTTATTTATGTATTATTCATTCATATTAGCAAACGTCTTAGTAAAAAGAAAAAAAAACTTACGGAAAACTGTGCGAATTATTCTGTCGTACAGTTTTCTTTGAACTCAACATTAACAATAAAATCCCTTTCTTTGATGGCATAGTCGATGCAAACAGCCATAATTTTACTCCCTCCTTTTACAAGAACATATTAGCAGAAACTACAAAAGTGAATATTCTCACTGATAGAAAATAGCAGTTATAAAAACATGATTTACCGAGTTAAAGTAACTTTATCGTGTGTATTATTCTATAGGAAAATTATTAAATTTAAACAAACATTAATCAACAATAATTTCCCTAACCATTACATTGATGAAACAAAATATTTAGCCTTGACGATATCTCGAAAAAATGACGCCAGGCGACCTGTTGACAAAAACAAAAATAGACACACCAGTAACCTATTTTATTGTAACTAAATATTTTCAAATTGTAAGCAGAAGAGAAAAGCAATTAAAAACATAATTCACTGGTGCATGTAGCGGACCTAAAAAACGATTTATTGGAAAATACTTTTTTTCCTCCACTCATTTTCAACGCCGCAATCATATATCTCAAGTAGGTGTGAATTTTAGCTTACAATTATGTCTGCACCCTACTTCCTCTATACCTGTAGGAAACGTACAAATAGCGCAGGAATTTTCAATTCAGGAAGCAGAAATCCACCAGCTACTGAACTTCATTGTGGCAGATCGAAGGAACGTAGTCACGCATCCCCTTTCTCCACTCTTTCAACCACCGTGGCTAACGAATGAACTCATCGATTCACGACATCACCATATGGTAAGCAGATCAAGAACTGGGAACACCCCATATTAGCGTCACCATTTAAGTAAAGTTTCATTGACACTTTTCTTTCTAGATTTAATCCTTTAAATGTAAGTAAGGAAAAGACATTTCGAACACTTCACCATGTGCACAAATTTGAAAACATCTTTTACCAATATACTCGAACACTAATACGGTACACAACCAAACCGCACATACTCAATATATAATGTCGTTTTTGAATAAAAGTTATTTTGGATTTGGTTAAACCGAGTTTTGTCTTTGTTTCGAATTGTTGCTGATAAATGATTTTATATTTGAAGTTTCGGTGTTGACCAGGAATTGCAAGCCCCCGACATACTCATCACTCAGTGATCCTAAAAACACCTAATATTTATAATCTGCTACAATATTTAAAAAAAATCTAACTTAATTATCGTCGGACCTTATAAATCCCCCCTATGAAAAAAAAAAGTTGTCTATGAATCATCACCCCCACCAACGCCTATGAGATTGCATCCTCAACACTAATAGTTACATAACTTTAAATATTTAGATTGGACACACACGCACTGCACTCTCACAGATTGACCTGCCACCTGTCGAAACTTGGTGCAATCCGAGCACATTTCGATAGATGCCTTATGAACGACCAAAATGTAACTATTAACCTAAGGCAAATATTAGTAGATAACATAAAGATAGTCTACAACATCCAATGCAAGTAAAGACACCAAACCCTTGAAGCTATCATACAAAATAAACAGCCAACAAATATCATTTATATTAAAAGTCAATCACCATAAAAAGAATGGATTAAAAAATGAATTAATTACTTTATTTATATTCAGATTATTGTCACCATCTTTGTTGTTATTATCACAAAGTTTCAGCCGTTGTACCCTCCGGCTTTCATTAGGTGTATATCAATCTGCCGAACCGACAAGGAATTCTGAACTGGACCTTTTACTTTATCTACGTCGGAGAGACTGTTCTGGTTCCACTATCTATGTCTAGGAATATTCAAATATGTCTTAGTGTTTATGCTACCCCGTTATTTCTCACGAATTACCATTGGCTCCATGTACATACGGCTCGACACAGAAATTGAACTCACAATTCAGTTCATAATTCCCTGTACATTACCCAGATCGATATACATCTGAGGAAGGCCGCAGGACTCAACGACCGAAATGTTTTGATAACAACAACAAAGATAACAACAATAGTCCGAATCTAAATATTGTAAATAATGATAACCTCTAACCCCAGAAATTCAAACAGAGATAACGAATAAATAATAATGGAGCTTTTTAATATTGACAGAAGGCTCTGTAATTAGCAATATATGATATTCAGTGAGTCCATCAACTTCAAATAGATACACTTTTCATTTCTTGGTGGAGTTCATATATACGTAAATAATACTTTGGGCTATAATTTCTGTACGGTACGTTATAAGACACAATTTAATGGAGACTAAACTGTGTATCACTTTTGAGACGATTTAAAATACATTTTAAAACATTTAAAAGCAGCTTTGCAAGCGGTGAAAGAGAGAAATAAATATTTATGCCTGTAGGCTGGCGGAAGAAGAACATAAGCACTTGAAAATGAGTTTTGAAGCGTTAGTCGATGTTAGATTAATGACTAACATTATTTGCTAAGATATAATGGGAGATTTATGGAAGAATGTTTTCTTTCCCGTAGAGTGTCTGATTAAATGTAAAATAAATAACAGAACAGTCCAAGAAACAGAATTGTCAAAGTTTGCAATAAGCAATAACAAGAAAAAAAAAGAACAGGGAAAAATAATATAAAGCTAGCAAACAATATATGCTAGGCAAATTAACTATAAGACAAATCAACAATAATATTGCAAAATATTGCATAAATTAAGAAATGGCGTTGGCACGCAAAAGCAAGCTCGCACAAGTCAATGTAGCATTCTGACTTCAAGACAAGACAGATCGGGACTGAGTCATATGAAATCGAGAACCGACCTATTTTAACGAACATTTAAATGCAGTGTCAATCTTTACCCTCTGTATTTTTAACTCTTATTTATTGTTCTCATTCTTTAATATTAGTTTTTC